GTTTATGTAAAAACCACTAAAACATCTACAGAATCTGGTGAAGTGACATATATTCCCAAATCCACATCAAGTAAGCCTATAACTACTAAAGCAACATCTCAAAAAGTAAGCACTGTATCCCATAAATCAACCACAGAATCTGAACATGAAAAATCCACTTCTCATGGACCAGTTTCTGGTAAAACCACTAAAACATCTACAGAATCTGGTGAAGTGACATCTGTTCACAAGTCTACATCAAGAAAGCCTATTACAACTAAAGCAACATCTCAAAAAGTAAGCACTGTATCCCGCAAATCAACCACAGAATCTGAACATGAAAAATCCACTTCTCATGGACCAGTTTCTGGTAAAACCACTAAAACATCTACAGAATCTGGTGAAGTGACATCTGTTCACAAGTCTACATCAAGAAAGCCTATTACAACTAAAGCAACATCTCAAAAAGTAAGCACTGTATCCCGCAAATCAACCACAGAATCTGAACATGAAAAATCCACTTCTCATGGACCAGTTTCTGGTAAAACCACTAAAACATCTACAGAATCTGGTGAAGTGACATCTGTTCACAAGTCTACATCAAGAAAGCCTATTACAACTAAAGCAACATCTCAAAAAGTAAGCACTGTATCCCATGAATTAACCACAGAAGCTGAATATGAAAAATCTACCTCCCATGGACCAGTTTCTGTTAAAACCACTGAAACATCTACAGAATCTGGTGAAGTGACATATATTCCCAAATCCACATCAAGTAAGCCTATAACTACTAAAGCAACATCTCAAAAAGTAAGCACTGTATCCCATGAATTAACCACAGAAGCTGAATATGAAAAATCTACCTCCCATGGACCAGTTTCTGTTAAAACCACTGAAACATCTACAGAATCTGGTGAAGTGACATATATTCCCAAATCTACATCAAGTAAGCCTATAATTACTAAAGCAACATCTCAAAAAGTAAGCACTGTATCCCATGAATTAACCACAGAAGCTGAATATGAAAAATCTACCTCCCATGGACCAGTTTCTGTTAAAACCACTGAAACATCTACAGAATCTGGTGAAGTGACATATATTCCCAAATCTACATCAAGTAAGCCTATAACTACTAAAGCAACATCTCAAAAAGTAAGCACTGTATCCCGCAAATCAACCACAGAATCTGAACATGAAAAATCCACTTCTCATGGACCAGTTTCTGGTAAAACCACTAAAACATCTACAGAATCTGGTGAAGTGACATCTGTTCACAAGTCTACATCAAGAAAGCCTATTACAACTAAAGCAACATCTCAAAAAGTAAGCACTGTATCCCGCAAATCAACCACAGAATCTGAACATGAAAAATCCACTTCTCATGGACCAGTTTCTGGTAAAACCACTAAAACATCTACAGAATCTGGTGAAGTGACATCTGTTCACAAGTCTACATCAAGAAAGCCTATTACAACTAAAGCAACATCTCAAAAAGTAAGCACTGTATCCCGCAAATCAACCACAGAATCTGAACATGAAAAATCCACTTCTCATGGACCAGTTTCTGGTAAAACCACTAAAACATCTACAGAATCTGGTGAAGTGACATCTGTTCACAAGTCTACATCAAGAAAGCCTATTACAACTAAAGCAACATCTCAAAAAGTAAGCACTGTATCCCATGAATTAACCACAGAAGCTGAATATGAAGAATCTACCTCCCATGGACCAGTTTCTGTTAAAACCACTGAAACATCTACAGAATCTGGTGAAGTGACATATATTCCCAAATCTACATCAAGTAAGCCTATAATTACTAAAGCAACATCTCAAAAAGTAAGCACTGTATCCCGCAAATCAACCACAGAATCTGAACATGAAAAATCCACTTCTCATGGACCAGTTTCTGGTAAAACCACTAAAACATCTACAGAATCTGGTGAAGTGACATCTGTTCACAAGTCTACATCAAGAAAGCCTATTACAACTAAAGCAACATCTCAAAAAGTAAGCACTGTATCCCGCAAATCAACCACAGAATCTGAACATGAAAAATCCACTTCTCATGGACCAGTTTCTGGTAAAACCACTAAAACATCTACAGAATCTGGTGAAGTGACATCTGTTCACAAGTCTACATCAAGAAAGCCTATTACGACTAAAGCAACATCTCAAAAAGTAAGCACTGTATCCCGTGAATTAACCACAGAAGCTGAATATGAAAAATCTACCTCCCATGGACCAGTTTCTGTTAAAACCACTGAAACATCTACAGAATCTGGTGAAGTGACATATATTCCCAAATCTACATCAAGTAAGCCTATAATTACTAAAGCAACATCTCAAAAAGTAAGCACTGTATCCCATGAATTAACCACAGAAGCTGAATATGAAAAATCTACCTCCCATGGACCAGTTTCTGTTAAAACCACTGAAACATCTACAGAATCTGGTGAAGTGACATATATTCCCAAATCTACATCAAGTAAGCCTATAATTACTGAAGCAACATCTCAAAAAGTAAGCACTGTTTCCCGCAAATCAACCACAGAATCTGTACATGAAAAATCCACTTCTCATGGACCAGTTTCTGGTAAAACCACTAAAACATCTACAGAATCTGGTGAAGTGACATCTGTTCACAAGTCTACATCAAGAAAGCCTATTACAACTAAAGCAACATCTCAAAAAGTAAGCACTGTATCCCATGAATTAACCACAGAAGCTGAATATGAAAAATCTACCTCCCATGGACCAGTTTCTGTTAAAACCACTGAAACATCTACAGAATCTGGTGAAGTGACATATATTCCCAAATCTACATCAAGTAAGCCTATAATTACTGAAGCAACATCTCAAAAAGTAAGCACTGTTTCCCGCAAATCAACCACAGAATCTGTACATGAAAAATCCACTTCTCATGGACCAGTTTCTGGTAAAACCACTAAAACATCTACAAAATCTGGTGAAGTGACATCTGTTCACAAGTCTACATCAAGAAAGCCTATTACAACTAAAGCAACATCTCAAAAAGTAAGCACTGCATCCCGCAAATCAACCACAGAATCTGAACATGAAAAATCCACTTCTCATGGACCAGTTTCTGGTAAAACCACTAAAACATCTACAGAATCTGGTGAAGTGACATCTGTTCACAAGTCTACATCAAGAAAGCCTATTACAACTAAAGCAACATCTCAAAAAGTAAGCACTGTATCCCGCAAATCAACCACAGAATCTGAACATGAAAAATCCACTTCTCATGGACCAGTTTCTGGTAAAACCACTAAAACATCTACAGAATCTGGTGAAGTGACATCTGTTCACAAGTCTACATCAAGAAAGCCTATTACAACTAAAGCAACATCTCAAAAAGTAAGCACTGTATCCCATGAATTAACCACAGAAGCTGAATATGAAAAATCTACCTCCCATGGACCAGTTTCTGTTAAAACCACTGAAACATCTACAGAATCTGGTGAAGTGACATATATTCCCAAATCTACATCAAGTAAGCCTATAATTACTGAAGCAACATCTCAAAAAGTAAGCACTGTTTCCCGCAAATCAACCACAGAATCTGTACATGAAAAATCCACTTCTCATGGACCAGTTTCTGGTAAAACCACTAAAACATCTACAAAATCTGGTGAAGTGACATCTGTTCACAAGTCTACATCAAGAAAGCCTATTACAACTAAAGCAACATCTCAAAAAGTAAGCACTGCATCCCGCGCATCAACCACAGAATCTGAACATGAAAAATCCACTTCTCATGGACCAGTTTCTGATAAAACCACTAAAATATCTACAGAATCTGGTGAAGTGACATCTGTTCACAAGTCTACACCAAGAAAGCCTATTACAACAAAAGCAACATCTCAAAAACTAAGCACTGTATCCCGCAAATCAACCACAGAATCTAAACATGAAAAGTCCACCTCTCTTGGTCCATTTTCTCTTAAAACCACTAAAATGTCTACAGAATCTGGCGAGGTGAAGTGGGTCCACAAGTCTACATCAAGAAAGCCTATTACAACTAAAGCAACATCTCAAAAAGTAAGCACTGCAACCCATGAATCAACCACAGAATCTAAACATGAAAAGTCCACCTCTCTTGGTCCATTTTCTCTTAAAACCACTAAAATGTCTACAGAATCTGGCGAGGTGACATGGGTCCACAAGTCTACATCAAGTAGGCCAATAACAACAAAGGCAATATCTCATAAAGTAAGCACTGCAGCTCATGAATACTCCACAGAATCTGAACATGAAAAATCTACCTCCCACAGACCTATTTCTGTTAAAACCACTTCTATGGGATCAAGATCCACTTTACATACTGGGAGGACAGCTGCAACCACCAGGGAACAATTCAGCTCTCAACAACCTAAATCAACTAAGCAATTGACCTCATCTACATTTGGAAGGTATAGCACTGAAAGAACTGTTACCAAGACATCACGACTGAATACAGCAGCCACAGAATCCTTTTCTACCACCAGGTGTATGTGCAATTTTAACGGAACTATAGTTCCTCCTGGTAAGCATGTGTTTATTGTTTTTACAAGAATTCAAATTTAGGTGCTGTATTTCCAATCCTACATTTCTTCAAAAAAGATAAAGATATGACAGAAATATAGTATGAACTAGAAAATAAAATCCTAATTTTATACTTACATGATATCTGCATTGTTTTAGGGCAATGGAAACAGAAGAATTAGAAAAAAATAGTTTAGGGTACTAGGGCACGCAGCTCCTCTAAGAAAATGCCCAATCAGTATAATCAGTAATTAACAAACATGATATGCATATTTTCAGACCTTCCAATCACACTGTTAATATCTTCATCTTTTATGTATTAAAATGTAGTTACCATAACAGATTCAGGGTTCGTTAGATTTCAAGTTGACAGATATTTAGCTATATGGCATGAAAAATCATAGTTTCACCTTAATCTAATGCTATTAATCAGTTAGTTTTCACACAGTTTAATCACAGTTTTTTCTATCACTGTTATAAGAATTCATTTCAATGCCTTTTACTCAAAGGGCAAGCTACTGGGCAAGGAGGGGAGGAGATGACCAATTATTCAACAAATGTCTTGGTGATCATCTTCCTACCCAATTTAAATTACCAGAATAAGTTGGTATGCCTGTTCAAACACCTAGGGATTGATTTATAAATCTTCCACCCACTATATAGCTTGGTGAATGCAATTTGCATGGTGATAGTGCTGCTAAAAGAAGCCAAGGAGCATTCCTGTCCTCAGCACCATCTAGTGACACTAATTTGAAAAACCAGCCCTTTAGAGAGTAGTTTTTTAAAATAAACTCTACATTTAGCAACTGTAGAAGTCATTACACTGCTTGTATTAGTATTAGTAAAAGTTATTACACTGACTCTGTGGCTGAATTTTGCTGTGTCATAAACATTTTCTTTTTACATACTAGTAGGGCAAGCTAACAATGTGTTTTTTCTTAGGAATTTTCTTTGCATGGAATATGTGAGGCATTTTTGTTACCATACTACCAGATAACTCTCTGGAAATGTTTTTGTTAATTTTAAAGGCCACCTCTCCTCTAGTTTCTTATTTAATCTTATAAAGTTCTGGCCTTGTGTGCTAAAATGAAGATAATGGTGTAATACTTACTGTGCCGAGACAAGGTCCACTTAGCACCCAATGTGAAAAAATGCGCCCCCGTATACTCTGAATTCAGTAGCAAAGGTTGCAGGTCCAGCCCTTTTTTAAAGCATTCAAGACAGCTGTCTGCCCAGGCCTGAATGAGAAATGCAGTCTTAGAACAGTGTTCTCACGTCGACAATTTTAACATGAGAGTGCTGCTGAAGCCTGCCTACAGCCTACCGCAGAGATTAGGAGGATGAAGCAGTAGTCATCACATGACCACAAGTTTTTTTGGCATGTTTTTAAGTTAAATATAAATAAAGCATTTATGTACAGGGAGGGGGGTGTGTAGATAGTATGGGAAATATATATTATTGTGCAGCCTTGAGTTTGGTTTCAAGGTATATATAAACCAAAGGACGAAAATATAATATTTTTCAGCTTACCAGTCATTAGGTGTGGTTACTGCATTTGTTTCCCCTTTCGAGCTACTTACATTTTCTGCAGGTGCAGAAAAATACCTGTTGGTTCTGATAGAAATCTAGTATCCTTGTAACTTCCAGGGTACTGGACATAAATCTTAAACACCACTATCAAATTCCTCAGCTATTTTACGTGATGCAAACAACTCTTTCACCCTATGTAATAGAGATGAGGAGAGGGGGAGGTGTTTCTAGACCAAATCAAGAGAGAAGCCTAGGGTGCCATGTATTGCATTTCTGGTTTTGAGGTATAGATAAGCGTTAACCTTTACAGCATAACTGTATCATTTTTGTTATTGATTGTGTGATTAAGACCGTACCAGTTACTGGTTCCTTACACTGGTTAGCAGATGATTATATAGTGCTACGTTGTAGTTTTCCTGACTGTTACCTAATTGTTGTTCTAATTATTACTAATTTATTTTCAGGCGAAGTTCTATATAGCACAACAGATAATGATGGCTGGTGCTTCTATGCACGCTGCAATGAGAAGTGTCAGGTGGAGAGATACAGTGAACATTGTTATACTGTGCCTACTGTGACCAGCAACACCAAGACTGCTAAAACCGTGACAGCTAGTGCTGCAACTACTGTCACCGGAAAGACTGGAAGAACAACAAAAACATCTGCAAGAAGCACAAAGACTGCACAGACAAAGACTTCAGCATCAAGTGTCAGCTCAGGCAGCACCTCAACCCCTGAGTGCTATGCAGTTATGCCTCCCAGAAGAGTAAGGTTTTACCTGGTTTTCACATTTAACACCTACATGCTTATGTACCATCAAGCCTGGAATTGTATAGTGAAAGAGTATTACTTATGTAAACCAAAAAATACTAAAATAGGGCCCTGCCAGTCCAGTATTCCTAAAGACTATGTACATGCTTCAGCTAGGCATACATAAGCACTACATAGAATTACTGGTATATTCAAAACTACTGACAATGCAGAAACAATCACAGATCCCTGATTGCCTTCAAATCCCATTTTGGCCTCCTGGATTGGTACTACCAGAGCAGGTGATATTAGTTAAACTTGGTGGTTAAATAGAAAAGTCACACTAACAATTCTGGCAGGAACACATTTTAGTACTGACAACAAGCTGAATCGTGTGCTGAGGTTTTTTTTTGTTTTATTCAATGTAATGTCATGCCCTTGTTCACCTTTCCTATACTAGTTATCAATTTATCTGAGGAGTTGCCATAATGTGTGGTACTGGTGGAGAATTTAGATGTTAGGAACAGTTTTTTCTTTCTGTGGCATATAGTCAGCCCTTTAGAAACATTTTTTTTTTATCAAGCAGAACTTAAAACATTGTGTTAACTATTAGTAGCTGATACTGTTTCTTGGTCCTTTTATTGGTACCAGTCCAAGAAGGACATTTCTTTGTTCAGTTGCCAAGTATAACATCACTGGCACCCAACACATGCTGCCCATCCTGCAATCAGCAGAAGTGTTCTACCAGCTCTTGTTCCCTTTATGTTGGGTCACAAATGGCAACTCTCCCTACTGCAGCACCATAAGGCAAGTGATCTTATACCATGCCCACTTTACTTTGCATCCCTGTAAGTATTGGATGAAAAAAATATGGTGATCCCTTGCAAACCAACAGTGAATACAACAACCTTCCTTCTCTTGCAACTAAAAAGCTTAGAACACACAGTTTTATTCTAACAACTTTCAGCTTTCCACTAATCCTACTGTAACAACAGTAGACATTTTGGTGGAATCACCACAATTCCATAAATATCTTTCTTGAGATTAAGATGAAGTTCCGGCAAAAAAGAACAAAATAAGATGGAGGTGTTCATTATAACTCTTTTTCTTTTCACAGGTTAATGAAACCTGGATGATGGATAAGTGTACCCATGCTACCTGTATTGGTCAAAACAATATTGTTGTTAACAAAAAACAGTGTGCACCGGTCAATGAGGTGGCATGTGCCAACCGGTTAAAGCCCAAGAAAACACTTGATGAGAGTGGCTGCTGCTATCAGCAAGAGTGTGAATGTGAGTCATAAAGAGTTGAATCATAGTGCTGTATGTTATGACTTAATTAATTTGCTGTAGAATTTGCTAAGTTCTGCTTTTTAATGCCCTTAGGTGTCTGTGGTGGTTGGGGAACCTCCCATTATATTACCTTTGATGGTACCTACTATTCTTTTAATGGTCAATGCACATATATCCTTGTTCAGCAAATTACACCAGTCTTCGACCATTTTTGGGTTTACATTGATAATTTCTCATGTGACCCTGATGACCCATCTTGTGTTAAGACCCTTCGTATTATGTACAAAAATGACATGATTGTCCTGACCTCTCAGTCTTTGAGCAACCGAATAACAAACAAGGTAATCAAGTCTACCTTCTTCAGATTTTTGTAGTTTAAATAAACTGTAAACCATTTGTATTTATCCCTGCCTATAATGGTAATTTGCTGTACTGTATGTCCTCACCTCTTGGCATAATATTTCTGTACATATGTTACAGATTTACATCAACAATAAGAGAGTATACCCTGCAATCCACACAAATGGTATAACTATTACATCCAGTGGCATTTTTGTAATAGTGCAGATACCAGAAATTGGAGCATACATCTCCTTCAATGTTCTTAGCTTCACTGTCAAGTTGCCAATCAGCAAGTTCTCAGGCAATACTGAAGGTCATTGTGGTAAGTCTCCAAAGTGAAAGATCTGTTTTCTCTGTGCTGCATTATAAAACTAGTCTTACTAATAAATGCACCTTATTTAAATAGGAAAGTGTTCCAACAATCAAGTGGATGATTGCATTTTGCCTAACGGACAGCAGGCTTCATCATGTACTGAGATGGCAGGACAGTGGGGAATACCAAGTCAGGACTCGTCATCATGCATCTCCATCCCCACCAGACCCCCCACTATTGGTAGCCAGTCGACACCTTTCTCTTCCCTTCCATCCACATACTTCTCCACTCTCTTGTCCAGTGTACCTCAAACTCTACCAACTATAGTTCCATCAAAAGTAGTGTCTCTACCTCCATCACCATTGTCCACTGCTGTCCAGACAACAGAGGAACCCTGCAACACCCCTGAGCTCTGCAAGGTTATCCTGAGCAGGTGAGTTTTACTTGTATTTAGCAATTAGTGAAATGGGAAGTGTGCAATCAATGAAGAAGGTACATACTGTGTGTGTGTGCATATATATACAGTATATATACTGTATATATATATATATATATATATATGTAT